GATTCAAACATCATCGATGTCGAGTTTAGTTGTTTTATTCAGTTTTTCTCACACAGATTCGTACACAACAACGGACATGAAGCTTCAATGGTTCGATACGAGTCCTCTACAAATTGACCCGGAAGTAATTCTGCCACAGTACGAGATCGTGTCATATAACTTGCGTGAGATCACACGAGAGTACACTACAGGTAAACTATTAATAAACAAACAAACTGGTTCGGAGATGTCGTTTCGTTTCAGGCATTATACTGATTGTTTTTGCCCATACTAGTTTGCATAATCATAATAATCCTAATACTTTAATTTATTGTAGGGAACTACTCGCATCTTCGCTAAAATCAAACTTAAACGTGAACTTGGTTTCTACATCTTACAAGCATATGTGCCAAGTATCCTGTTGGTGATTCTATCCTGGTTTTCATTGTGGATGGAGCCAAGTGCAGCGCCCGCCAGAGTTGCTTTGGGGATTACCACTGTGCTTGCGTTGGTTACGCAAGGTACATGGATGAGAAGTCAACTGCCTAAGGTTGCTTACGCAACGGTAAGTTGAGCGTTACACGCGAGGGGTTGCCTTATACTCGCTAGCGCATCACAATTCATAAAGCGTTATAGTTGTCACTAGCACACGTTTAAAGGGCGGTGGTCGTCACGCCGCGTCCTGTTCGATGTGGGACTCAAAGCGACGTATACAACGCGTGTAAAATACATTGTTTGTTCACATTAAATTCGAGCACGCGCTGTGCGACGACCACCGTTCTTTAAATTTCAGGTGAATATACAATATATTTTACACGCGTTGTATACGCTGCATGGGACCAATGTGTGGCGACCGTGGCGCTTCAAAGGACAGTGCTCGTCGAGATCACAAAAGTTGGAAAGCGTTTGCATTGAGTGTACCTGCATTGTGGCTGGAATACGTATATGTCGCTACCCGTAATATGGGATTCACATCGATCGCACGCGGACGACCACCGCCCTTTTGAAATGAGACTTTTACAACCATGCCCGCCAATTACATGTTAGAATATTTAATAAATAGATGAAATCTCAAGAGCGAGCTCATCGCGATAAGGCCAGAAATAAATGAAAATTACTATATGAGTATCGATTTATTCTGATAATTATGAGGGAACATGATATACTATTTATCCCCCGTATTCGTTTCACTGTGTTAAATGTCAAAATCGACATCGGAATCGTAATTTATAGACGCTAGACTTCCTGAATACCTATCTCGTTTACATACAGTACCGACAGTTTAACCGCTTGCGATTAAATGCCCATTAAAATTAAGTATGGAACAAATACTAGACTTCTTGGATTTTAATTTTGGCGCGGAAAACAAAAGGCAAAGCAATAGAGAAGACCACTCACGGCACCCACATAATATTTTTTTATTGTTGGCAACATTGCTATGTTTACAGTTTCTAGAGACACATGGGTAAAGATTTATTTGACTTTCTACGAAACCCACCGATGGCCAAATATTGTAAGCGATGTGTTCGTGGGTGCGTGGCGAAGTTAAACTTGATTATTAAGTATCTCTTTTTGGGGGAAGTGCATTGAATGCAGGCAATGATACAGTAGGATTCGCCCAATTCATTGAATGCATATTACATGAAGATACACGTATTCACCTCATATCTCTTCTTCTGGAATCACTTGCTGATGAAAATATGGCACATGACAGATATGCAAACTTTGAAAGACACTGTAGTAAACAGCGACAGTATCTAGAACCATTATCAAGGCCTTGCCCACGGAAAGCAACATCATCTTCAGCAATAATGTTTGTTGGCCAATCTTTAAAAATTCAATATAAACGAATACGTAACAACTTTAGATTACGATTTATCCTGTACTGTAACTGTTGTGTTTGCAGGACAGAGACACCTGTGATACGCATGCGTAGTGATTGTTATTGCACGTACCAAAACAACCGGTGCACGTGCGTATTAGGGAATTTCATAGTTTCATTGAACGAATACGCGGATGTATGATACAAGAACAGCGTTGTCAGTTCCTGGTGAATCATAGTCAAATTTATCTATCAATACAAAGTATGAAACAGCAATACTACATGTTTGCGTCCATATTAAAAGCAGGAGGGTCGTCACCTGCGCACGTGCGGGAATTCCGTCGCAAGCAACGATAACAACACACGCTAAAAACGCAAAGGATCATGGGTAGACGCTTGTTTGTAAACGCTATGGCCGTCCGACGCATGCGCAGGTGACGACTCCCCCGCTTTAAACCACGCGCCCTACGTATACTCGTTTGAAATGTACAAGAACTGACTCCACGGCATTGCAAACAACACGCGGCGCACAGTGCGCACATAAAAAAAGTCATGGATAATGGTTAGCCAAAAAGTAATTAACTAAAACCAATTATAGCCTGGGGAAGATTGATTGTCCACACGGGCAGTACAAATGTATGTGTTTTCATTTCCTGGCACAAAAGATAATAAAAACATTAATTTTTGAGCATGTAAACGTTTTCTGATCACTCGAAATTTGCGGTGACTTTAAAGGCCGTGTGGGTGTCGTAACAGGTCGATTTTGCCTGTTATGTTTTACTATCTGCAATTCCGGGTAAATGAGAATTCGAAACAAAGCTATCGATATGACAGACGCATTTCATACAAAGTAATACACATTGCCATGGTAACATATTCCACTTTACGCGATACTGATCTCCCAAACGTCCTTTTTAATAACTTGATGGAAATTTGCTGTACACCACGTGAGCGTAACTTATGGATTGCCATCGGCTATTAGTGTAATTAATTAATATAAGGAAGACCGCCACCCTGTTGAGCTTCAAGTTTATAAAATGACTCAGGCTGGGTATGTAATTAGTGGTGGAAATGAGTTTGCCCGAGCATATACCGACCCATCATGGTTGACTAGCTTATCAAATAGATCCACGCTAGCGGCTATACTTATTTATTTTGCGTTTTAAAATTGACTAAGTTTCTAATTGCTGTTTGTATCCACTGAAACCGAGTAATTAAACAACACAAAACATGACAATTTGCTGAGGATGATGACGGTACAAACTACAGTTAACGTTGCAAACTCCCAGCATCACATTTGGCACATTGGTTTTTAAAACATCTGTATTCGTTTTGCTCAATTACTATGACAATATACCTCAGACCCAGACCACAGAGATCTCGTTGGGCGCGAGAGCTAAAGGTCATGTTTTGCCTCAATCTCCAAGGCAGAGTTCTATTTCAATCTACGAATATACTTCGGTGTTCTGGCCGCAAGGATCTCTGGGAAGGAGAATGGTTTTGCCTCAATCTCCAAGGCAGAGTTCTATTTCAATCTACGAATATACTTCGGTGTTCTGGCCGCAAGGATCTCTGGGAAGGAGAATGGTTTTGCCTCACACTCCAAACAGTATTCGAACGAGGGGAAGAGAGTGTGGTTTTCGCCTTTCAAATATTTTTCCAATTTTCCACGGTCACTGCTTAGTATAATATTTTGAACAGTGTGTATGACGATGGGAGATATTGGAGCACTATTTGAGGGACAAAAATAAGTCTCGTGGATCTCTCGCTCTTCACGAGATTTCAGCGGTCATTGCGTTTAGGTTTTATTGGGGCGTATGTGGATTTTGTGCACAGCAAATAGAAAAGAAAAGAAAACCACATTGTGAAGATCAAATAAATCTGATTTTTTGTTGTAATGGCACCCGACGTTCTTAAAGATAATATTTTAGTAGTTATTGAATATTCTAAAAATAAACGATACATCATCCTGCATTCTCCAAGTATCGACCGTACGTGCTGGTCACTGATTGTGCACCCTTAACCACGCCACCAACGGCAGAAATCAGTCAAAGATTGTATCCTGTTACGGTAATAGTATTAGTCAGGACTGAGTATTAGTATTCGCTGGTTCCCGGCGTTCCTTGCGAATGGCAAGTAGAACGCAGGTAACTAGTAATCGCCATTTTGTTCCACTGGGCCGGAATTTTTGTGCAAAGTGATACCAAAAAAAAAAAACAGTTTTACATTCGTGCAACTTTCGAGAGCGTGGGAAACCCCTGCTTTTATATATGGAATGACAACGAGGGTAGCGCTGACGTCAGGTAACCATGCAAAATAGAACAAAGAACGAGAATGTGATGGACCAATCAGAATGCCTGAACCGTTACTAGTTACCGGCCTCTTGTGGCTTGGTGCGCCATGACACTTGAGGCGGGAACCAGCCAAGTATTAGTACGGTATTCCATCACATCTAGAAACGTCTACGGGGCGCTATCTGGTGTCATGGAAACATGGTGAAATTGTCGGATGTAAAAAGCAGCGCTAAATTGAAAACATATTGGTTTCGACAGCATTTTATTTGACTTTTTTTTTTAATTATTTTGAATTCGGTAAAAATCAATAAATTACATTGCTTATTTAAATACAGCATTTTTTGTCGATTATCAGATTCATTTGGACTCGAATGTAGCATTATATTGAACTTTACATACCATTGTATCTTGCTTGTGTCGTATTTGAGATTGACATAAACAGTCCCCCTATCATTCTGACAAATCACAGTCCCTCTAGAGGGACTGTGGACAAATAGACCATTTTCCGTTTACTCCGAGAATCACGCGTTATGCGTGAAATCGAACGTAAAAACAGGACAAACAAAGGTCGTAGTGGCGTCAAATATCGCGTGGGATTCGACAAACGCGAAGTATTTTGGAGGACATTTCCATGCTTAATAATGTGCTGTCCACATTTGATGATACTAGTAGGCATTTTCGATTAAGTAAGGGTATTTGAAAGCAATATTCCTCTGTCGAAGATTGGCCGGTCGATGTGAATTACGAAATAAAAAAATTCTAGTTCAAAATCAAATCGTTCGACTTTTGTGGCAGACGTTCGATGCGCGTCTTTCATACATCTTGCGAGATCTCGCAATCGTACGGAAAATCACTTATTATTATGTATTGTCATGGTGTCATGATAAGCATTGTGGGTAACCGTTGTCATCATGATTGCAATCAGTTCAGATGTTACATGTATCGCATTATTTAATTTGTTGTTACTATCGCGGCCAGTATTTTGTTACTATGACAATAATTCACAATTTGTGTTTGCTATTAGTCTCATTTGAAATAAGGATAAATAAGTCGATAGAGGGTTCTGGTTTCATGGATTCTACAGATTCTAGTGAAAATAATAAATTCATTTTAACCATACTATGTGTTTCCATGGAAACAAAATATCTATTATAGAGAGAAATATGACGACGTAAAATAATTGCGATATCATTTCATGTGAGAAAAGTGTTGATTTCTGATTGCGTTTTTTGCGAAAATCGTCAATTGTAAGTGGTTTTATTGATAATGCAGGCGAAACGTAAACATTGCTCGGGATGTAAAATATTCGTTGCAGATAGCAATGTAACAAGTTTGAATATTTTGTTATTTTTGGACCGAATAAACTTAATGGCCACGTCGTACAGGGCTTAAAGGGCGGTAGTCGTCGCGCCACGCATGCGCGAGATACTAGTATATGGGTCTCATATGAACGAAAATGGCGACTTTGACTGTTGCGCAGATGAACGAGTACAAACTGAGACGTTACCAAGTTTTAATTACATATTTTTTAGGTGATTGGAAGGTGTCGAAGGAGTCATCGGCGGTAATTAGTGCAAGTCGCGCCCAGGTCAAACCTCATACTTGTGATTTCCATTAGAAAAGTGCAATGGATTGTGAGAAATCATTGTTTATCAACACAAATGTCGCACATGCACAGCGCGACAACAACCACCCTTTAAAGTATGGAAACATGTATGCAAGTTTATGTTTGATCACATTCCCTCCACACTGACAAGGGACTGTGGTTTGTTAAAGTGCGGTGGTCGTCTCGCCGCGCCGTGTTCGACTTGATGATATGGAACCCAGTAGCGACGTTATGCAAAGCGTGTAAACTACAGTAACGAGTACGTCCTTTAAAAGGTGACACAATTTATTTTGCCGTTCAAAAAAGTTGAACGTATTTCCAAGTTACAAATCAGATTGTTGTTTCCGTTTCACTTTCTGGAAAGACTTACTAAATCGCGAGTCTCCTCCAAACTTCTCGTTTACGTCTGTCATTTGTAGGTCAGCCTAGCACTGTGACATCATATTGCTTCCTGTCTGAATCGGAATTGGCATGCGGTTAACAATCATTGTAGATTATCATATTTCAATACTGAATGCAATTTAATGAGTTCGTTTGGGACGAGTAGCCATAGTGCATCTTACCCTAACTAGTGTCGAGTTGATTTTCTGTACATGAACAAGCAAGTTTTAATTGGCATATACTTCCGGCACTCACTCGTAATTGCATTACGTCATTTCGTGAGTAGATTCATTGGGGAGCCTCGTACCAATTATTATTTTTTTTTTTGAAATTCTAGGCTATTGATATTTGGATGGTTACTTGTCAAGTGTTCGTCTTTGGGGCTCTGTTAGAATTTGCTATGGTGTACTATCTGGCATCACTACAAAAAACTAGAAACACGCAGTACAAAAAGAGGAGGCAACCACGCGGTAACCAAGGGAACGGTACGGTCAGG